GTCAACACTGAGCTCAATTAACACAAAATTAGCATCAAATCTAAGAAAAAATTTCTATTTAAACAAAAACAAAAGTGGATACTTTGATAAGTGTAAAAATATTTGTCTAAATTTCTGTTGATCAGGTGTTTTTATTGATCATATCCATAATAAAGGGAGATGTCACCTATTTTTGTAAATAGATATCTCCCAAGTAAATCCAGTTTATATTTACGGTAGCATTTTGTTCCATGCCGTTACGCCCTAAAACCTTTCTAAATCAGTAATTTCCATTTTCTTATTTGGTTGGAAGTAGATTGTTTTTGTTTGGTTGTGTACAAGGTTTCATAGCACTCCTATCATTTTGAGAACAAGAATCTCATAAAGAAATCATAACAATACAGTGCTAACAGTCTGTTGATTATTTTATGAGTAAATTGTGACTAAAACAGCAAAATCATTCTTTTTTCTTAAATATATGAGTTTTTTTGTTGTCTTGAAGTAAGAACAGCAAGACTCAACATATTCTTCAGGTGAACAATTGCAAACAGATACATGTATCTGTTTAAATTTCATTTTTTTCACAAATGAGGGAAGAATGGCCAATAAATGCATGCATCATGATGCACACTTCTTACGTGTAGTGCCTACACTACAGATTTTCTGCTTGTGGCAGGTTGACAGCATGACAGGTTGTCAGGTTGGCGTAGCGGTATTTTCCTCGCCTTCCACCGCTGTGACCCAGGTTCGAATCCCGCCTGGGCCAATATGTGGATTGGGTTTTCAGTCCCTGCCTGATTCCGTGGGTTTTCCCCAGAATATTCTTCTGGGCTTTTCCTCCCACCTCTAAAACTGTAACTGCTTCTCATTGTCTTCTCTCCACAGGTTTCTTCAGGCTTGCGAGCTACAGTGCCTAAGGCGCTTTTGAGGAATCCTTGGTTTCATTACCAGAAATGATTAATAATAATAATAATAATAATGACGTGAAGTTAGGCTGTATGACAAGAGAAATATGTCAAGATACAAAAGACACTTTATATTCAGCAGCCACTTTTTGACTCTTTTTACGAACAAATTTAATTCAGTGAAGTGTGGTGAATGCAGCCCCAACAAACCTAGCTGTTCAAGAACCAACTTGATGCCTAAGAAATTGGATATGGGGTCACAAAGGGCTTAGCTTTTTCAATTCCCATCAACCTAAAAGTACTAAAAGTAAAGTAAAGTAAAGTTACAATGAGTGCAAATATGAATATTACTAAAATATCAGGTGTATTCACTACAATTCCTTCTTTAGCACCAAAGATAGCCTGCAATGCAAATGATCTTTTGCTTTCTGTTTCAGACTTTTTCTCACAGTTTGAAAACTTATTACATTACAGCACGTTTAATATACACAGGACAGTACTAAACTTATACAATAAGTTGTACGGCCACCAACAATTATCAGTCAAACAACATGGAGGTATTGTACCTACGAACAAACTAACACTACATGTCAGTTACTGGTGATTATACACGCATCGCCATTGGCCATAAATGGCACTACTGAGGCCTGCGATATAGCTATGTCACGCCCCAACTATCGCATCGGTCCCAACTATAGTTGGGCCTGTCCCAACTATAGTTGGGCCTGTCCCAACTGTAGTTCCACAGTTGGGCTGGCCCAACTATAGTTGGGCCTGTCCCAACTATAGTTGGGCGGTCCCAACTGTAAGTTCCACTGTTGGGCTGGCCCATCTATAGTTGGGCCACTCCGATCTTTTTATTTTGCGGTGTCCCAACTATAGTTTACATTGATGTACAACTGTAAAACGTTCCCTACAGCTCTGATACACGTCTGACTTTACTGGGGACCACTGAAATTAGTTATTGATGGGGCGAATCTATAGTTGGGCCACTCCAATCTTTTTATTTTGCGGTCCCAACTATAGTGTACATTGTTGTACGATTATAAAACATTCCCTACAACTCTAATACACATCTGACTTTACTTGGGACCAATGAAATTATCTATGGGTGCATGGGGACCATCTGTAGTTGGGCCACCGCAATATTTTTATTTGGCGGTCCCAACTATATAGTTTACATTGATGTACGACTATAAAACATTCCCTACAGCTAGCTCTGTTACATACTGTCCGACTTTACTTGGGACCTTTGACATTAGCTATGGGTGGGGCCCATCTATAGTTGGCCAGCCATGGCAATCTTTGAATTTTGCAAAATGTTGCTGGACAATAAAACCCAGCAGCTGGACAACTCATCCAACTAGGCAGTACCACGTGACCGGCCAGCCTTGCGGCATGCATGCACGACGAATACACGGTGCCAGCGCCGCGGAACATTTAATCCAACAAGATCTATCAAGCATCCGGCGCAACTCCAGTATATAACTATAGTTGGGCCGACCCAACTGCCGCACTATAGTTGGGACAGTCCCAACTATAGTTGGGACCGATGCGATAGTTGGGGCGTGACAGCTACATAAAATGTCGTTAGTGCAGTACTACTGAGTACTGTATCCAGGCAAGGGCGGAAATCGCTCCTTGAACGTGGGGGGGACAGGTTTTTTTTCTCCCCGAAATTATATTACTCACAAAACGTCACAGGCTGAACGGCAGTGGCGTAGCAAGGATTTTTTCAGGGGGGGGGGGGGGGGGGCGCTGGGGGGGGGGGCTGGAACATTTCATGGGGGGGGGTCAAGCAGGGGCGTCAATCGCTTCTCAAAAGTGGGGGGGGGGGACATACCTTGATCATAAAGACTAACGGCGTGGGGTTCGGGGCCCGCTTAAGGGCCCCGAAAAAAATTGGATTCTAGATGTTCTGTGGTGTGACTTGAAGCAATTTCTTACGACTTTCTTCCATGCTTTAACTAATATTTTCTTGGCAAAAGATAATTATTTGAACATCGTTTTCGAGGTTGGAGACATTGAATCAGCTATCGGTATTCTGAGCTATTGGCGTGGGGTTCGGGGCCCGCTTATGGGCCCCGAAAAAATTGGATTTTCGATGCTCTGTGGTGTGATCTGAGGCAATTTCTTACCACTTTAACCAATAATTTCTTAGCACAAAAGATAATAATTTAAACATAATTTTCGAGGTTTTCTCAGCTTAAGGCATAAGAAAATTTTGTGAACATTGTTTTCGAGGTTGGAGTCATTGAATCAGCTACCAGAATTCTGAGCTATAGGCGTGGGGTTCGGGGCCCGCTTAAGGGCCCCGAAAAATTTTGGATTCTAAATGCTCTGTGGTGCTATCTGAGGCAATTTCTGACCACTTTAACCAATATTTTCTAAGCAAAAGATACATCGTTGTACATAATAGGGCCCTGTAAATGAGACACGAGTTCAAAAATGGGGGGGGGGACATTTGATATTGTGTCCCCCACTCTTCAAAAGGTGTTGGGGGACATGTCCCCTGTCCCTCCAGGATCGACGCCCATGGCGTCATGTAGATCAATGATATTTTTTTAGAAACTCAAAATCTCAGTTGGGGGGGGGCGACTAGGGGGGCGACAAGGTTTCATGGGGGCGGTCGCCCCCCCCCCCCACGCCCCCCCCCCCCCCCCCCCGGTGGCTACGCCACTGCTGAACGGAAAACTTTCCACTCGTAATATTGCCATGGGGTATGGCAGCCATAGCGAGAGACTTGAAATCAAGTCTGTAATGAGTAGTTTAATTTAATCGCGTCCGCCGCAAGGGCGGATCCAGAACACAACTTTTTTAGGGGGGGGGGCTAAAAAAAGTTTGGTCCCCCCAAAAAGTGGGTCCAAAAAATTACGGCGTGGGGTTTCGGGGCCCGCTTAAGGGCCCCGAAAATTTTTGGATTCTAGATGCTCTGTGGTGCGATCTGAGGCAATTTCTGACCACTTTTACCAATTTTTTTTGGAGGAAAAGATGGAGGTGTACTCATTGCCTGCATTTATTGCGATGTCACATAAAAAAAAAATTGGTTTCGTTTTTTTTTTTGGGGGGGGGGGTCATGGCCCCCTTGATAATGCAACAATATATTTCTGAACCTCGTTGTGTGCATCGGGCATTTTGTCATTGCGGTTCTGTAACCTTAAAAATGGGCACAAACCGCGGACGAGTTCGTTTTCAGGGTGATTACCACATGGGCCAAAAGGAGCTTACGTTTACAGTCGGCGCGCACTTCATTTTTTGAAGGGGATTTACAATTATTCGTAACAGTTTCAACTTCCATAATTACTTAAATATTACTCCTTTTATTCTAAGACAGTTGCAAAAGTACTAATATTATCTACAATGTTATACGCTTTTTTACTGTAATTTTAAAAACAGGACTGCCAAATAAAATGGAAACTTGAAAATGATCGTGTAATAATTACCCCCATATTTATAATGGTGTTTCTTCGTAAGCCAGATGGGCTACTATTGGCCCTCGCTATGGAAACATCATGCATATGCATTGCAGTGGCTGCATATATGGATATTCGCTTGAAAACATCTTAGTCAAGTCGTTAGACACAGACTGACCATGCCGCGCGTTAGTACATGACTTTTACATGAATGGTTGTAGCGCTGACGTTGCATGAACGGCGGTGGTATGCGGATTTTGGCGCTGATCGATGACGGACATAAACCACTATAGTCTAACGACTTGTCATCAAGTCTACCATAGCGATTGCGGGCCGGAGTGGGGCCGAAATAGGAGTAGCAAATTATATGACGTACGCAGGCAACATTGTGTATAACGTATACCGCATGAACCAACACGCACGTACAGTACATGTACGTGGGTAGGCTAGGCGTACAAGAGCCGTGGTCGAACCGACAAGAAAACCAAATTGGTTCTCAGCCACAACTTAGCGACATATCGAAGAGGCTTTTCCCTAAGACTCTGCCATGGTTGGTCACCCACCCATACCTACACATGAAAACATGGAGGGGACATTCGACATTGTGTCCCCCCTTACCAAATTCATGGGGGGGACGTGTCCCCCCTGTCCCCCCCGGGATTTCCGCCCATGTATCCAGGCACACCCCGCCAGGCTCACTTACCCAAATCGAAGGCATCTTGAATCGTCAATTTTTATAATGAAACTTATTTGCTCGTGCAGGTGTTATGACTTCCGCGTTCTTCTTATTCACGTCTCCAAAACAAAACTATATTCAGGCTTCAAAGTTCAAGTTGAACTTGGCTCGATCTACGCAGCGAAACCATGGTCACAGTCACTCACGTTCATGCGAGCTTGATTGATTGATTGAGCATAAACATTATTACACCTGTTCTGCAGGCAGGCAGGCGAGGGAAAAAAGTTTTGTCCCGCTATATGGTTCCCAAGCACACATAAGCCTCGTTTACACTAAAAGAACTCAGGGCTTCAGACCAAAAAAAACTTTGGCCTTGAAGACTTCTTGACGTTGAGGGCGCCCTGTTCTTTTTACGGGAAAGACTGGAAGAAAACCCCAGGGGTGCACTGAACCAATTCAAGCCCCATCGAAAACAGTGTAAAATCAACAAAGTTCAGGGCCAAATAACATGCACGCCGACATCACTGGGGTTTCTCAAACAAAAATTAAATTATTTTCAATTCCTTCATCTGCCTATTTCTTTTCAATATTTGGTGGATTAGCCAATTACATTTTTTAATATTCACACCAAAACTTACTCACCCCCCAAAAAGTGATACTTCCCAAGGGTGCATGTAGCCATTTTACATATGGCGTCCATCCACTTTCTCGGGCAAATAGGACCCATTTTTCAACCGTGATTTTATCAAATCTGCTCTCATTTGGAAGCCCAAAAACTGGGGAGTTGATCCTAGGCTATATTTACACAAGTCAACCCCTTTTTGAGCCAAAGTTTCTCCTTTTTCAAAAGAAATTGTGGGGCACTTTTTATGCTAATTGCTGGCGTAGAAATTATCACCTGAATTAGTTCACTGCACCCCCAGTGCGCTCAGTCTTTTTTTGTGCTCAGTTTAATATTGAAAGTAATGCTTAATTATTTTGTGGAAATGAATTTATGTTCCAGTGGCATTCTTTTGATGTCTTTTTCATGAGTATGGGTAGGCCCATAAAATATTTGTTTCGGTAGGAACAATATTTGTTTCGGTAGGAAAAGGAGCAGACACTTCCGCATTATTTATAAACTCAAGATTTTATGATGTTTTAGGTAGAATTTAACTACGCTTGGAAAGTCAAGCTGAAAGATAAATGGCATCATGCTCAATCTGACTGGCTCCAGAATCTTGGCCCGCCTCGGAAGGCCGCACAACAGTCTACACTATTTGTCCTGGTCTCCTCAGTGGAGGCAAATAAACCAGCTTATAATTACCTCTTTTTCAAAGTTCAATTCTTCATATTGCTGATCGTCAAGCAGCATGTCCAAGGATCTGGACCTCGAGTGAAGTCCCGACGATCTCTCCTTACCCAAGATGTCGTCGCTGCTGAACAGTCTCATGATGCCTTGGCCGAACAACTTGGGCCCGCGAGAGATCGGGTCGAGTAGGCTGCTTACCGTGCGGGAAAGTTCTTCCGTCCTGCTGGCGTAGTCTAGTTTTGACGGCTGGTCATTTGGGGTTTTGCTGGTGAGAGTATGACTGCTCCAAGACTCGCGGTCCCAAGCATTTGTCTTTACCGAGTCCTGTCCCGCACCTACAACCGATGAACTCGCCGATGCCCGGTAGCCTTCACTGCCAGCTTTCGCTCCCGAGGTCGCCGTCATCGTAGCTTCCCCGGAGTTCGAGTTCTCATGGAAGAGGGAACTCAAGTTAAAAACATTGGCCATGGCCCTTGGTTTTGAAAATTGTCTTCCTTTTTATGGATTATAGTGTTTCTGCCATCACCGGAACACCGTTGGTGAAAGTGTCCAATCATGCGCAACTTTCAGCTTGAGCAAGTGGGTGGAACACTTCCACGCCCAGTCAGAAAATGCGCCGAAAATAGCCACCGTGTGACGTCAACTGATGCGCATGGTTCACTCTGAACTGTCAGTCATTATTTTTAACAGTTGTGTTTTTATTCCTCAAGAGAAGTCAACAGCTGGCACTGACGATTGTTTTTGATCAACGATGATGGCCGAACGTTGTACCGGATGGCATGGATGATTGCTCCTTTGGAATAAAAACCGTGTCGAGAGATTGAAAAACAAGGGTGAACAATCCAGTGCAAGTTGGAAGTTGGTCCACGATTGTTTTCCTCAACCAGTTTTAATCAGACTTGTGGTCAGTTAACTTAATTCGGTTGTGAAGGCAAATTGATACAGTGTCACAGCACTTGTCACGTCGTGTGACTGTCCCAGTCTGGTCTACGTGTGTGTAAAGTGACACTAGCAGTAAAACACACCAGCCTTAAAAACTACTACCCCAACACCAGATTGTAAAGAACAAAAAGGAGGCATTCTATTCTCCAGCTCCGGTAATATTTCATTTCAACAGGTTGTGTGGACTTTTTAGTTGTGTGGACTTTTTTTGTTACCGTGTTTTGTAAGTCTAGTGCCCCCCGGGCAAAACTCCTGTTCCTTGCTTCAAACTAACCTGTGATGCCTGGTACTGAATGGTGGCACCAATTCGTATACGTCGGTGAAAGGGAAAAAACAGAGATCCCAGCAGAATCCGCCTTTCAAGAAACCAAACAAAGGGGCATTTTATTTCGTGGGGGACAACAAAAATATGAAATCCCGCTGAGGTTTGTCGACTCATAAATTAGGCCTCGGCGCTGGTGTGCGTGTCGTCGTGTTTCCTTTCTTTCTGCAGTGTCTAGGACCTACCCTTTCCTTTTCATCGGAACAGCTATCATACGGAGTAATTTTTACAGCAAACATGGGCAAAAGTTCTCTTGATTCTTTTTAGCTCTCGGGGCCAATATAACAAAAGTGAGTCCCATTTGTCCCAATACCTATCACTTAAAAAAAATGAGGGGTTGGGGTTGGGAGAGGAGCCAAAATGGTGGCTCTATGCATGTAAATACCTGAGTCATGCATGAAAAAGAGGCGCCACAAACGCTCTGATTAAGGCTATAATGTACATCATAAAATGGTCCCTTTTATGCGGAATTTAAAAATCATGAACCCTATAGAATACACGTTTTTTGAGCATCTTTTCTTTAGGCCGCTCACTTACCCCGAATTTGCCATCGAGTGGAAACATTGTATGCCATTTGGGGGCCTTTCCTATTTTGCCCCTCAATGTACACAAACAAGAGAGTGATATTTGGATGTTAATTTGAAATTCATCTGCACTATAGCCACCGAACAGCAACGTGCAGGGAGTAGCTTTATGCCACTGGGCGGGGATGTGGGCATGATGATGGGGATCGAGGCGTTACCGGCGTATATCTGACGAGCTCATCGCTTCAGTTGCCGAGGCCTTTTTTTTACCCCGGTTTTTGCCATATTTTTCGGTAACCCAATACTTATATATATATATAATGAAACTGAAGCTAAGTTTAGTTGTTGAATTGTAAGAATAAAAACTCTTTTCGTAGAGTTATTTGCGTGGGCCTACTGATCCAGCAGCACCGATTGGCGATCAGTAATATGAAATTCCGACCAAAAATAGAACAGAAAAGCCACTGGCCCTGACCCTGATACCAAGCGAATTCACTCCATTCAGTGACCGGTGAACTGAAGGATTAAAATATTACTCAACAAAACTCTCCATTGCTGCAAAATATGTGACCCCCGCACGGACTATTTTTAGTGGACAAAGAACAAACCCCTCGCAAAGTTTTCAGGGGTAATTCACTGAGCACGAGTGACCGGAATAATACGGACTATTATTAAGAACCGATGGTTGCAAAGTACGCTCTATTTCATAATAAATGTGACTCAGCACTATCAATGACGTACTTGTGTGGTTATTGTTAAAAAAAAATAAAAAATGATTGACATCATACATTGTTTGGAGTGACAGCGGTACCTAGCCTCCGATATCCAGCCCATGTGTATTGCTATCAAAAGTTCTCTATAACATTAATATCAAGACTTTTTGAAAGGTAAATATATGAGGGCATGCAAAAACATGACAGGTCGATCAGAGTAGGTAATTTTGTTCTTTAGTGTTCCTAAGATCTTGTAAAGCTGTTAATTCTAAATTTAATTCTAAAATTAATTCTACAGTTAATTCTATGTTTGGGATACAACCAACATAGGGCTGGATAGCTCAGTTGCTAGAGCATGCACCGGAACGGCACTTAAGGTCGCAGGTTCAAACCTTGTTCCAATAAATTTCTTTGTTAAACTCGAAACAAATTCTATGAGAGTGTGTATACAATTATTTTCCTGAAAACAGATTTCAGCATTAAAGTGGGCTTTTCAAACATTTTTTTTGGGTCACAAGAAAGGGAGGTGGAATTTTATCGCAAGTTAAACACGGACATTTCGCTGATGAATTGCGATGTTTAATTCCCTTAGTGTTTTTGAACATCACTAGTGATCTCATTCTGCGAGAATTGTTTGTCAAAAAGCGCCAACACTTGACTGTTATTCTCGTGGTAAGCATTTGAAGTCATCTTTCAATAAATATCCTGGCAATGGGCATTAACTGTCAAGTAAAATTGGGATTTGTTACCCGAAATGTTTACAAATTTGCACAAACCCGGCACACATAAGGCTCTACCAGGAATCCATTTTAAAAAGTAATTTTGGAATATTGTCGCTGTAGTATAATACTTTAGCCGAGTTGACAAATTGATTAAACAACCAAGTGTACCAATCTGGGACCAATTTCATGGAGCTGCTAAGCAAAAAAAAATTGCTTAGCGCAAAAACATCTGGCTTAGTAAAAGCAGGTTACCAGCCAAAACTCCATGTGATTTTCATGCAAAGCAAACAAAAGCTGAATACCAATCACAAGCAATATACATCACATGGAAATTTGTTTGGTAATTCTGTTTTTGCCAGGGAAGACTTTTTATGCTAAGCAAATTTCTAAGCTTAGCAGCTCCATGAAATTGGCCCCTGGGCAAGCTATCACTGAGGCCCCCTTCAATGGCGAAAGCATTGCGCTTAGGTATTGTTCAGATAATCTGTCAGGGGCAGTTGCTGTGTACAATAGCATGCACAATGGGTTCTCCATTGAAGGGGGGCTCGTGAGTGTACAGTGATCATGTCAGGATTCGTCTATAGGGGAAAGCAAGTTGTTCAATCAGGAATGATTCAACACAAAGAATTTCAAGCAAAAACAAGGAGTGCACACGGTGACAAGATATATTTACTGTAGAAGTGATACACAATCTGTCATACAGTGTGTCAAATGGACAAGAAGAAATATACACAGTGAAAATATACATTTACTGTAGGATATACTACATACTATCCACATTCAAGTCATAAATGTTACAAACATTTCATCAGAGACAAAATCTAGGTTCAATAAATAACGGTTGCCCTTTTGGAGAACTGCTAGTAGAAAGGTACAACAAAATCCTTTCACTTGCCTAATGAAAAATGATGACAAATTTATAATTTACACAATTATTTTATTGCGAACAAGATATACAAATGGATAAAATCTAAAATGTTATCCTTTCCTAATTAAAATGAAAAACCACACAGGTTTGGTTATTTACAAGTCTCTCAAGCTACAACGGGAGGATTATTATGAACCAAAAGACTGAGCAGTGCATGTAGTGCCTGCACCATGTCTGATAACCACTGGGATGAAGGCACAGGACTGCCCTTGTTCATTATATTGCCCGCTCAATAAACTACTTTCATAATCTTTCAACTGTTAACTGTTAGCAGTTTTAAAGCACAAAGGTTTGCAGCACTGCAAACATTGCTAGCATCGTGACTTTGGGCGTGATCCCTGGCTACATGGCATGTAATGGGTTCATGGCAGCACTGCAAACATTGCTAGCATCGTGACATTGGTCGTGATCCCTGGCTACATGGCATGTAATGGGTTCATGGTTTCTGACTAGCGCCCTTGAACATTAGGGCTAGATAACTCACTTTTGTAAACCATTGGGAGGGGGTTCTTATGCACAGAGTCCATGGGTTTGGGAACAAAAAACCTAAGGAATTCATATATGAGCACTGACAGACTAATCAATATTGTTGTATTGTGTGCTTAGATACTGTAATTTCATTGGCCTAGGACGGCCACGTGTCTGGACAATAAAAATGTATGTCACGCACTGAGGGTGATATCACACTGCGTTTATTGCGCGCGTTGGGCACGCTTGTGGAACCTGCCGATCCGCTAGCTTTGCGCAATGAGATCTGCACTGCCAAACGCTCAGTCTCATGTCCGGCAGGACATCGAAACCTTCAGTTATCAAAGGTTACATCGCAGTGATTTAATTCATTTCTCAGACATAAAGTTACAACCATTTATCTTTTTGATTTATTGGCACGATATAACAAAACAATTATTGACTGCTGTAATGTGGGATATGCCATTTTTATGCGCCCCTCGGGTGTTAAAAACGTCATATCCCACATCACAGCAGTCAATAATCGTTAGCTGTGACCCTAATTGTAGGGGTCTGGATGAATACTGCACCAACACCCCTTCTCAGGGGTCACACGGGCAGGGTATACATATCCTTCCTGCAAGAAACACCAGGGCGAACCCCTTCTCTTAGCAATAAGCGTTACTGGGTTCTTTTACGTGCGTTAGGCCTTATACAACACACGGGACCTACGGCTTTGCGTCCCATCCGAAGGACGAAGCAAGAATGGTTCAGTGCCTTGCTTAAGGGCACAAGTGTCCGCGCCCGGGCTCGAACCCTCGTCACTCTTGCCTCTGGAACACCTGAACATGAGTTCGGTGCTCTTGACTGCTGTAGGTTTTGGGGAAGGTTCTGATCATCCTTTAATACAGGTCTGGGTTTTACAAATTTTAATACTGATCATCCGTGGCATCACTGGGTACCAAATTCAAACGGGGCACCTGGGGGACTTATTTCCTGAAGGGGGTGGCGCACCCAGGATTTGGTTTGTGGGGGCTCACCTTTTTTTTTTTATACAAATTTGTTAAAAGTTGCATTTTTTTCCCAAAAATTTTGCCCAAAATTTTTGGCCGCAGAAATTTTTTTTTTTTTTTTTTTTTTAAGGGGCAACCTATTTTGACGTTGGTGGTGCCACCTACACCCCTATTATACAACTCGAAAACAGGCCACATTCATATCACCAAGGCCAAATCGTGAGACTAAAAAAAAAAATGCCTGTAGGGGGTACTCAATAGGTTGCCAACACTAAGGAGCTCCTTTATGCCAACAGCCCCTGAGTGGGGACCCCAGATCATAGAGAACTGGTAATAATCTTGAGAGTCTTCACTTCAAGGATTTGATTGTTTCTACTGTATGATACTGAGTTCCTCCTGGTCCTGCTTGCGGCTCATGCCACCCAGTAACTTGCCCAGGAACCGATTGAACTCCCTCCTGATTCCCTCCGCATCCTCCTCAAGATTGGTCTGGATGTGATGCACTTTGGACATGGAGGAGGCTGGTGGGTCCAGAGAAAAGAAAGTGAAATCAGTAAATAATGCCATCTTGTGAATTTTTTGAATAGATAATGGACAATTTAACTTTTAATACATCACTGCTGTTTATTTAGCATAATATGACAAAACCATGAAACCAAACTCAACTGGTAGGTCCAGATCAATTCAATTCGGAAACTATGCAAAGACCCTGAAAACACAAAGTCCACACATCACTCATTGCGTGGACTGGACTATGGTTCAGGGAGTCCACATAATAGTTGGGGAGTTCCTAACTATAGCTGGGAAGATCCCAATTTCCCTCCAACGCAGAAAGCCCATTTACTAACACGCTTACAGTAAGGGGTCCCTCCGGGGACCCAGATATTTAGCGCCTTGGTTTGAGGCTACACAACACTGTATCTATATGTACACAATCTTGACATGCCTGTAGACTATAAATAAGGAGGTCATTGACAGGAAACAGATGTTGTATACATAGTCTGTGGTCAAGCCGTGCACTGTCTACCCGCAAGTGACCTTGTTTTGTGCACGTGTATATGGGCAGCCCAGGTTGTCAGGCTCAGATATGCCTGACCCGGGGTCACACACTAAAGGTGACTGCATATATCCGTAGTGGGTGTCTCTGGCTAGGATTAAATGGAAGATCATCGGAATTGGTTTGAATTTTTTTTTTTTATTAAGGTAATTAACCAAATTGGGTCCCCAAAAGGGCTACTTTCTGCGTTGGAGGGGTTGGGAACGTCTCAACTATAGTTGGGAAAAAACAGGGTTGGGGCATAACAATGGAAATTGCTGGATTAGTCTGTTCATGGTAGGACTGAAAAGGAAAGACTACATCACTTGAGACGAGGGAAGCTAAGATGCTGGAAAGTAGTGAGAGACAGCGTGGAAGAGGTGAGAAAAGGATGAACGATGAAAAAAAGAGATTGACAACTTCAACTTACGTATTTCCACAGTGGATGAAGATTTGGCCGATGGTTTGTGATGGCCCATGATCAGGCACTGCGCCTCACGCAGAGCTTGCTGGACAACAAAGTGACTGTACCTAGAAACAACGGTTAGAAATTCAGAGAAAGTACGCATGAATTGAAGTGTTTGAAATCTATTGGGAGTCTTTGTCCATGCAACAATGTCGTATATCCAAAAATGGGCTGTACATGAAACACGAGTTTCAGAATGTCAAAAGGTCGTATCTCACTTAAAATAACCCGGATGTACACACAAAGTCAATGGACATCGAGTTACGACCTTGTTGCACTGACGTGACGAAATGCTGCAGATTGCATCACTGCAGCAGGAACCCTTTCAAATATAAGGCAGAGCGGCAAGAGAGGTTCAACCCCCCCCCCCAACCAAAAAATTATAAAAAAGAGGGGGGGGGGGGGGGAGGGAGGATAGCTGCGCATCGGATCAACATGCTCTCTGAACACGGCCCGCTTGCACGTGGCATGCAACATGTGGACGAGGTGTCGCCCAGCAAATTTTAATTTTTTTTGTGAAAAAGTTTAATAGCTCCTATGTAAAATGTCTGGCTATGCCAATGACTTTAATTACAAATCCTAACACCTGGCTGCCTGGACCACTGTATCCGGTTTGTTAGTGTGACGTCATTTCCATTCAACAATGCGTACTTCACAAGGTGTAGCATAGCATGAATGGAACCGGAAGTTCACGCAACTTGAGTGTTTATCCAATGGGTGCTAGTAATCACACATTCTGGAATTTGTATCCTTGTGGAGACATTTCTTTGTTCTCGTGTAGTAAAGTTTTCGAGTTTGAAATTGCAGTTTCAAAATGCTCTGATTTTAACCAGAATTAATTTCCTGGGCTGAAATTTGGACGAAATATCCCTTTTCTAAAACTCTTCCATTTGCGAGGGATCAACCTACCTTGGAAATTCCTAGTTTTTGAGTAAAATCCATATATCTATTTCGTGAAATTCTTGTGGAGACGTATTCATCTATAGAAATGTTCTTGTGGAGACGTATACAATCTTTTGTTCCCTATTGTGTGCATGTCTCCGTAAGGTAGTAAATTCCAGCACCACTGTGCGTGCGTGTGTGTGACATTTTTACTAAGGAACCGGATTCTGTTTTGCAGGTTATATTCCTACATGACAAGTTTTTTTAAATTTCAATATCCTGCTTACAAGTCAGACCAGCTTACCACATGTCCAGTTCTCTCTCATGCGTGGGGACATCAGGGTTGTATACTATGACTACACCATTGGCATCCTTCATGATGGCCGGCCAGCACTCATCAAACCTATTACAGAAAATACAAACAAGACCGATTGTTCTTGTACCAGAAATAGACACATGAATGTTTTCATCTTCTCTTTTCCGATTTTCAATTCAGAAATGCACAATATAAGTAGATACCAAACTACCAGTAGCTTATCAAGGAAGAACATATCTTTTCTTTTCCCAACTTTAATAGCAAACTAGCAAGCAAACCGAACATATTTATTATCTGGTGTTATTTTTGTTGGGCTCCCTTTTCAGGACATTCATTTGTTACCAACCCTGTCTGATTGGGCAAGCTATGTATTCCATTTCAGATTTTATCCCCTAATACACAATTTCACCTTCTTAGTGGAATTTTGGTAGTCCGAAAATTTGGGACTCTCAATACTTCGTATGAGATGTCCCAAAACTGAAGATGCAAGAAAATAGACTGGCACGTAAAACAACCAGTCCAACAACCCTTAGAACTGTGTCAAAAAATGAAGAGGGCAGTTACACTATAAACAAGCTTACTTTTGGTCTCCACTGCAATCCCATAATTCCACTTCAGCTGTTGAGGATCGAGCTCCCATCTGATTACTACCACTCTCAAACTCAAGAATCCTGCAAAAAAAAAAAAGTAAAAAAGACAATTTCCAAACCCTTTTGAAAACAATTTACAGTTTTGAGTGAGGTGTTGCTACCATAATAATAAAAGGAATAAATATTACAGAACAGAGGAAGTTAATTTACATCTTGTAATATTATTATTATTATTATTATTTATTCAGCCAAAGAAAAAGAATACAATATACAACAGACACAGACTACAATACTTACATCGAAGAGAGTAAAAAAAACTAATCACCAAGATGGGCTAGGGGCAACAAAAGCAAACAATTACTGTAGTCCGTAGATCTGTTACCCCACAGGGACTCTCAACACTTGGTATGAGACTTGAGAGTACCAAGTACTGAGACACTGCTAAGAAAACATAATGGAGATGACCAATGGTGTGTAATCTTTCTTACCGTACTCCTTGAGTGGGATGGTACTCTCCTCCAGATGTCTCCGTTGCATCCGCCAAGAAGTTGGAAATCACTGATTTCCCACTCTACACAAATCATAAATCATAAATAACAAAGCATCAATCATGCATCATTAAACTGGTGATTTGATTGAAAAACACTTGCTACATTACAGATAGGAGGCTAGTAATACACAGTTTCTGAACTAAGTTTGTACGTTTGTGTTGGATGTGCTTCTGAAGAAAATGTCTGAAAAAAGTCATCAAGCATGTCTCAAATTTGGATTAAACCAGTTTCAGCAATGCACAGAGGAAGTGATTTTCGTCCCCCTGCGACCAGTAATGTTCACACACATTTGCAATGCAGAATATAATGTAAAAAAAAATCAAACTGAATTCTGAATCCAGGTATTCATTCATATCCTAAACCTATTTCAATTATTTTTAGGCTTTTTTTTAAACTAGTGAAATGAGTAAAGTCCGAGAACCATTTGGTTGATAGTCTGGTTCCGAGACCAAAATATCCTGACGTCAAATATTGTCTGGTCAGGGAACTAGACGGTTGATTGCCGTAACGATAGCCACGGTACTTTTACTAAGTCTTACGTGTCTTACTAAGCATCTAGTCCTAAAATTTGGGAATCTCAATACTGTGTATGATCAGAGAGTCCCAAAACGTAACTTATGATAGTATTAGTAGAAAACATGCAATAGAAAATAGACTGGCACATGAAAACAAAGAAGAAGTAGGCCCACTGCATCAATCAACTGTGTCAAAAGAAACATCTGGTACCCAGTCTCTATTGCTACACATTTCCACAGTCATGCCACCAGACTATTGAAGGGTCAATCTTCTCAAAACGGTGGACACACACCAGCCTAGTCTACTCTTATTGTCTTAAGGTGGGTTCATCTGTTCATACTTGGCGCGAAAGCGAATTCGCAAAAGTTGAACACATTTTAACTACGGCGAATTTCGCAGCAAAGGCTTTGTCACGTCAATTTCGCATTAAATTCGCATGATGTATGGACCTGCCTTTGTTTTGGGCTTCAAACTGAAATCACTAGAAAATGTTAAAGAAAAGTCTCCTTTAAAAATTGAATTGAGAAATCAAACTTGTCTTGGCTGGTGACATACTGAGGACCTGATCTTTGCCTCATGAAAATTTTGGAGAATTTTGTTGGCTAAAGAGTGAGTAAAGTTGGCCTCATTTTGGAAAGATTTCCATATACGAAGTTCACTAATTTTCCTCTGTATTGACTAACAAGCCCCCAGGGATAGCAATTTCATGTCATCAAAGTCAATTTGAGCAGTGAGAAAATACAAGCATTTTCTTAGAAAACACTTAGAATTTCTCAGTCCACTCTCATAGGGTTTGTACACAGGGTGTTGAGTGAACTTCGTATATGGAAATCTTTCCCTCATTTTTGCCCCTGCACAGTCCAGGTCCCAGTCATTTGCCACTAATGCCAGTGTCACGCCCCAACTATCGCATCGGTCCCAACTATAGTTGGGACTGTCCCAACTATAGTGCGGCAGTTGGGTCGGCCCAACTATAGTTAGGATTGGAGTTGCGCCGGATGCTTCATGCTTGATAGAAACGATATTGATAGATCTTGTTGGATTAATGTTCCGCGGCGCTGGCACCGTGTATTCGTCGTGCATGCATGCCGCAAGGCTGGCCGGTCACGTGGTACTGCCTAGTTGGAGTTGTCCAGCTGCTGGGTTGATTGTCCAGCAACATTTTGCAAAATTCAAAGATTGCCATGGCCGGCCAACTATAGATGGGCCCCACCCATAGCTAATGTGAAAGGTCCCAAGTAAAGGCGGACAGTATGTAACAGAGCTGTAGCCTAGAGAATGTTTTATAGTCGTCGTACATCAATGTAAACTATAGTTGGGACCGCCAAATAAAAATATTGCGGTGGCCCAACTACAGATGGTCCCCACCCATAGATAATTTCATTGGTCCCAAGTAAAGTCAGATGTGTATTAGAGTTGTAGGGAATGTTTTATAATCGTACAACAATGTACACTATAGTTGGGACCACAAAATAAAAAGATTGGAGTGGCCCAACTATAGATTCGCCCCATCAATAACTAATTTCAGTGGTCCCCAGTAAAGTCAGACGTGTATCAGAGCTGTAGGGAACGTTTTACAGTTGTACATCAATGTAAACTATAGTTGGGACACCGCAAAATAAAAAGATCGGAGTGGCCCAACTATACATGGGCCAGCCCAACAGTGGAACTTACAGTTGGGACCGTCCTAGACCCGTGAACGTGGCGTTGTGAACGTGGCGTTGTATACAACGCCACGTTCTTGTTTCATTTCGAACCTGGCGAAATCGATCCGACATACATAATTCCGTATGGGTGTTGAGTACTCACCTAGAAATCTAAATTTGCCCGTCCGATTGTTTCGGCTGTGTAATTTCGACGAAATTTGCCCATCAGTAAAGACCCATACGAACGTGTAGAAATTAGATTTTAACCTGACCCTGACAAATAACCCCGGACGCGTCTGAGTCGCTTGGACAGATTGACGGCTGTTTCATGTCGCAACCCCGAAAAAAAATCCCCGCAGACGATTGGCTGCTCGGCTCATCTCGTGTACAGCAGTACGACGTGTGTGCACACACACGCGGGCGCACGTGCGACCGCGTGCGGTGCGGTGAGAGAGGAAAGGACTTGAAACTTGTCTAAAACGATGTCTGTTTTAGCTGCGACAGTAAACAGCCGTCGAATCATACGAAAATAAAACGCAATGCGCATGCGTCAGTTGGGAGAAAATGGCAGCTAGCAGTAGCGGACGGACTTCATGAACCGGGGCCAGAATTTTCCTCAATTTTCCTCAATTTTCGTCAAATGCAAGTTTTGACGTACAAATAGAATTCAAGACAGCTTCATATGTGAGTACTTATTACTTGGGCAAAATAACGTCCAGTGTGTGTAACGGAGGGAGTCAGAGGGACACGTTCGCCAGGTTCGAAATGACATAAGAACGTGGCGTAGTTTACAAGCCACGTTCACGGGTCTAGGACCGTCCCAACTATAGTTGGGAAAGGCCCAACTATAGTTGGGCCAGCCCAACTGTGGAACTACAGTTGGGACAGGCCCAACTATAGTTGGGACAGGCCCAACTATAGTTGGGACCGATGCGATAGTTGGGGCGTGACACCAGCATGGCCACCGGCCAGTGAGTGGCAGTGCTATGGGGTATGGGAGAATAGCGTCGTGCTGTCATGACTACCGCACAGGTTGTCATGACATTTGATGGTAAAAATGAGGTAAATCTCACGAAAACCACCATCTCTCTTGTACTAAATCTGATATATTGAATAAAAAAACCAACAGGCACATTTGCACATAAAAACATTACCTCACATGGTCCAACAACTAAAATCTTTGCCTTCAACATGTTACCACTTTCCCCATTTACGGAAGAATTTAGTTTGCCAAAAATAAACTCTTGAGGGCGCTAGACCAAATTTACAGTAGCGGCAGCTCTCGCACTCAGAAACTCGATTTTTTTTCACGGCCATTTGGGATTGGGATACAGTTTTAAAGAAATAAATCAGAACTTCAAAAAAGGAACATTTTGAAGAAGAATGTTATTTAATTTTATCAGAAGTAATGACCTTCTTTCAGTTAAAAAGGACAACTTTTGTTCTGTTTATAAATCTGTCGTCTGCTATTTTGTTTATGAATGTTTGGTCGAGCGCCCTCCATCAAGAAACCTTCGTTGGTAACTTAAGGTGACCTTGCGCATGCATTGTGTTGAAGGGTCCGGGTACCAGCATATGCGCACCGAGCACAAACATTTCACATGGGAATGCGCACAGCTTTTTTTTTGCAGACGACATCTGGCAACAGAAGCGGGTGGACGTGTGTAACGTGCAAAATGATATCAAAATGACATGTTTTTGATATCTGTGTTTATACCGAGATATAGGCCTAGAGATTGTTCATATCAGAAACAGCAACATGGTGAAGAACACATCGCTGTACGTGCGAATTGGAGAGGCGAAGGACCTGCCAGGAAAAGACCTCATGTAAAAAACTTTCCAAAATTTATGCAAAATTATGAGCATGTCTTCTCTTTTTAATGCTGCATATTTATGCAGTCCTCTATATGTTGGTTTAATGTTGTGTTGTTTAAAATTGCCATACAGGCCACAGTCAGTCTGTATTTATAGCTCCATGGTATAATTAATTGTTTTGGAGGGGAGGGGTGGGTGGGATGGTGGGCTTGTTTGGTCAGATAACTCTCATTTGACCAAATGTTTTTTTGCAAATGTTTTAATAAATGTTGCCTTGCTGGGGCCTAATTCTTCAAGAATAATTCTAAATGTGGAAAAGATTAATTTTATTTGTGGCACTGGTAGTCCAGGTTACTGTGTGTGATTAGTCTCTTGGTTTGGACTCTGCCATTCATTGCAAAAATGTTGAAAATACATGAATTTGGGACTGAGAAACATTTCCAATTTTGTTAGAAAATACTTTGAATTTGCACTCAACTCTCCATAGACTTTGTACACAGCCAAAGAAGTGGCGTCTGGATACTACATTCTTCCCCAAGAAAGTCTATTCAATAGATGCTTGCACAGCAAAACAACACTGCAACGCTGCATCTTGACTACAGGCATTTCAGCGGGTGCCTTCTATCTTGTCTTCGGTAACCCGATGTTGTTTGACAAAAATATGGCAGTTATTGACTAATCAGTAGCTTTGGCAAAATTTCTGCTCTACATGTCTTCACAACTTCTAAGGGTGGCTCTGAGCTGGAGTGCTGGGTTGCATAAAATTTACGTGCACAGATATATCACTATCAGACGTTTGTAGTGTTGTTACGTCCCAACTATGGCCCTGGTGCCAACTATAGTTGGGCAGTCCCGAGTATTTGCTGGGCCAGTCTTATCATTAGTTGAGGGAACTTGAGGAATTCCTCACCTGTTGATCAGGCTTCCCCAACAAATACTTGGGACTGTCCAAACTGTAGTTGGGATGGTACCATAGTTGGGGCGTAACAGTGTGACTCTCCACACTTAAATGTCATCTGCCTATGGAACCCTCTCCCTGCCACAGTCGTATCAGCGCAATCCCTGGAAATCTTCAGGAGCAGGCTGAAGCCATTGTCCTTCCGCTAAATTGTTTGCGGCCGTTTTTACGCGTACTTCAACTACAGCACCACCAGTTTCTGCACCTTTTTGTGATTACGTGTTCCCGTACCAGCACCTTTGCACCCACAGTACGACAATCCTTGGGAGTATTTAGCTCCTAAGAGGCCTGTACTCACCAATAGATGATGATAAACATCTGATCCTAAGACAAAGTCCATCACTGGATTCAGATTTTACCCCCTATGCAGCTGATCCTTTGTAAGAACAGTCAAGCTGCTGCAGGGATAGAGGGCGCTTTCAATGAGATGAATCAAATGTCCTGGGAACTTGGACGCTGGAACCCAAGAAACTCGGAGCACGCCTCGCGCACATTAGTATGAATATAGCACATGTGAGGCATGCTCTAGAGGCAGTTCTTGGATCCCAGTACCAAAGTTTCCAATGCAGTAATTTAACTTAGTGCCCAGTTCAGATGAGATTTTAAGCTTTGTGGGATGGAGAGTACAACTAGAAGGTGGTTTGGGGATACATCATCAAAGTTACTCTCACCATTGAAGACTCTCACCGTTCTAAGAAGAATTGGAGAATGTGCCCATTTTGATCACTTGCCCAGATTTTAAAAAAATGGACACGTCCAATTTTACAAAAAACTTTTTTTTTGGAAAAAGAATGCACATTTTAAAAAAGAGGGCATACCCATTTTTCAAAGGGGGCATGCCCATTTTGAAAGTGGGCAAGTGTCTATGGGCCAGTCAGCATGCTTGTTATGTTTTTGCATTCAGATGTTCATTGTTTTATAATTTATGTATGCAATTTACTATTTATTTTTTAATTCAGATCTCGAAGCAGCGACCCCTACTGCTTGATCAAGATTGACAATGAGGTTGTTGCAAGGTAGGACAGTGGTATCATTACTTGTACTTAGTAGGGCTGTGATGATCAAAGTCCAATTTCATATGTACATGTATTTTACTGTGAAAAAATAGTCTCCCCTATAGCTTGCTGAAAAATCTGTACTTACCTCAAGTGGCTAGCACATCAAATGGCTAGTAGGGAACTTTTTGCTTGTTTGTGTGCATATTCTGTAAGTGAGGATTCTGTACTTACAGGATTAACAAAGAAATTGCTGAAGGTATATAAGTATTTACTGCTAATACAGGCTTGCCAAGTTTCCTCGGATCTGCTGATTTCCTTGGGTTTTTTTTTTTACTTCTCATTACAAATTGAAAAAATACTGTACAAAGTCCTGTGTGGCTTGGAGTTGCCTTGTTTTTCTCAATCCCCAGTGGCATGTCTGTATTATAGTTAGTTAAGCATGGAATCCCATGGTTAGCAGAATATTGGCTCTGTGCTTTATCCAGAGGCCGAGGGTTAATCAATTGGAGTGGGATTTTGGAGAACACCCAAATTTAGAACTGGGACCATTGTGAAATTGTAAAAAAAAACTATTGTGCAGAGCATTTGTTTGGACAGTTTTTCTAAAATGTTGAAACCCTGTAAATCTTGGCTAATTAAACCCCAGTGCTATAAACAGATGCATCAACTTGTATCTATCAAATTAAACTGTGACACCTGATGAGAGTTTTGTAATTGGGCGAAAACCAAAGAAAGGCTAGGTTACCTGTGGTAAACTTTTATTTAGAAGGGGGTACACTCTCATTCATTGTATGTGAACCTGTTCAATTATACAGCTAATTATTGTAAAGGTCTACAGTTTTGTATCATTAAAGGTCATTCCAGTCAAGAAGGGGCAATTTTTTTAATGGAAAACATTTTCAAAAGTTGCCAGTTACACATTATACGAGCGCCTTGGTCTTCGGAGGTTCCGGTGCTTGTTTGACATGCTTTTGTTGATATCCGTGTCCTAACTCAGTGTACACAATGAAATGAAAGCAAAACGAACACGTGCGGCAAATAACTTGTTTGTTTACACGTGTCCTAGTTTGCTGGCTTCACCAAATATTGTCAGTCAAAGTCCATATTATATCATTAACGCTAAATGAAAGTGTCACGACATTTAGGCAATTCCAGCATTATTGTTGCTTTTTAAGAGCTCAGTGAATAAACCTGAAAACATGTTTTTTAAATCTTATACGCCCATCATCTAGTAATGGTCAAGGAGATTACAGACTAGGAGTTTTGGATCATTTCTCTGAGTTATTAATTAGACATCACGGATAATTGGCTCTGTCACAGACAATGCACTTCCTTGATCATTACGCTGAATTGCCCATTTCTAAAACCAACCTTCAAAGTTTTGGCTGGTATTTAGAATAAAATATACCTGCTCTAATTTGATTAACAGTGATTAGTTTTGAAGAATGGGACTGCTCCTGCATGGGCGTCGCCAGGATTTTTTCTAGAGGGGGGCAAAAAAAACTTTTGCCAAAAAATGCTTGTATTTCTCAAGTGACATTCTCGATTTATCAGTTTTAGAGGGGGGCAGGGACATTTTGCCCCCCCCCCCCAAATCATTAAATTTATACCACTTTGTCTTTGCGCCTCTTTTTCTTTTCTTTTTTTTCCCTTTTTTTTTCTTCCTTTTTTTTTTTTTTTTTTTTTTGCTTTTCCAGGGGGTGGGGGGGGGGGGGCAAGTGCCCCCCTTGCCCCCCCCCTCGCGATGCCCATGTGCTCCTGTTAAAGTTAAAATCACCATTATATACAATGTACATGTACCGTAGACAGGGTTGGACCTCAGCAGTAGTTCGCTCATCAAATGCGAGTAAAAACAGCGGTGGACTAGTCAAAACCATTTTCTAAGTAGTCCGCCAGGCGAGTCAAAATTATTGTGAACAACATGGTTGTTTACAACATTCTGCTGCAAAAACTTTAAAATTTTGAATGCGGACTAGTTAAAAGACCCTAGGGGCAATTCCACGGTTACTCACGTTACATTTTCGTAACGTGAGTAACCGATTTTGTGCCTCTTGTTTATCATACATAACACATTTTTCTGGATGTCATCCTTGGTGCTTAGGTAGGTCTAGGTCTACTCTGTCTACCATGGGGATAACAGTTATTAAAACCTTTTCAGTAAGGTAATTACAGCCCAAGGAAACTCAAAAGTACATCAAAAATGTAATGTGAGTTACCGTGAAATTGCCCCTAGGACTAGAGAAGAGTCTGTTTTACTAGTCAGGCTGGCTAGAGAAAAAAAGAAGAAATTAAGAGCGAACCCTGCACATAGATAAAAATTATCACCATTTTTTGTATTTAAGGTCCTCACGATCATAGCTTAACAAAATGGCATTTGCAGCCATCTAGATAATCAAATACAACAGAATAATTACAATTAACTGTCCTTTGTTCACACATGGTTCACATGAATAAGACGTCCAAATTAATTTCAAACAAATTACTGGACAGCACTTACAGATACAAATCAATAATGCAGCTAGCAGTTTGCGTGCGTCGTTTCAAGGAGCCTTTGAAGTGGCTCTTGAAACTGAGTAGTAGGCATGCACTATGCAAATGTTGTGCCGGTCTGGGGAAGTAAGTACAATCTTCAAAAAGGGGGAAAAAACCTTGAATCCCAGACAAATACAGTTGTGCGTCATTTGTTTGTGCAGGAACATTGTATGTGATGCTTCTTTAGCATTTTTATTGAAGTGAGTGGTTTTTTTTGACAGATTGTGATTTTTATGCCCCGCGGCGAAGCCGAAGGGGCATACTGTTTCCGCCTTGTCCTTCCGTGGGTGGGTGGGTGTGTGGGTGTGTGTGTGGGTGGGTGGGTGTGTGGGTGTGTGTGTCCGGACAAATCTTGTCAGCGCGATAACTTGAGAAATACTTAACATATGAACTTCAAATTTGGTTTGTGGATTGTTCTTGGTAATCCTAAGAAGCCTTTCGCATTTGGGGCCAAAAGGCCAAAGGTCAAGTTCACAGTGGCTAAAACAATAGAAATCTTGTCAGCGCGATAACTTGAGAAATACTTTACATGTGAACTTCAAATTTGGTTTGTGGATTGTTTTTGGCAATCCTAAGAAGCCTTTCGCATTTGGGGCCAAAAGGCCAAAGGTCAAGTTCACAGTGGCTAAAACAATAGAAATCTTGTCAGCGTGATAACTTGAGAAATACTTTACATGTGAACTTCAAATTTGGTTTGTGGATTGTTTTTGGCAATCCTAAGAAGCCTTTTGCATTTGGGGCCAAAAGGCCAAAGGTCAAGTTCACAGTGGCTAAAACAATAGAAATCTTGTCAGCGCAATAACTTGAGAAATACTTTACATGTGAACTTCAAATTTGGTTTGTGGATTGTTCTTGGCAATCCTAAGAAGCCTATTGCATTTGGTGTCAAAAGGTCAAGTGTCAAGTTCACAGTGGCTAAAACAATAGAAATCTTGTCAGCGCGATAACTTGAGAAATACTTAACATATGAACTTCAAATTTGGTTTGTGGATTGTTCTTGGTAATCCTAAGAAGCCTATTGAATTTGGGGCAAAAAGGTCAAGGGTCAAGTTCACAGTGGCTAAAACAATAGAAATCTTGTATTTATTCTGAGATTATAGGGATTAGGGATTAATTCATATAAAACCTACAGAAGACACTAATGCTGTCAATGAATGTTCCATGTGACCAAGGTACATGTAAGTTGATGTTAAAAGAGTGGTGTTATGTCATGGGAACAGTCACGGTTGCGGGGCATTTGTGTTTGTAAACACACCTGACTTGTTTTTTCTATCACTATTTCGTCAGGAAGTGCACACTCTCCCAAATTACCTTTACATTGTATGTGAACCTACGCCGATTAGAAATGTGTGCCAGTGATGATGAAGACTTAATTAAAGGAGTTATTAAATGAATTTCCTCAGGAACATATTTTGTTCTAAAATGCATGAGAACTATTGACGTTCCTTTTGGGTTATGTTTTATTGAAAACTGCACTTCTTTAAACATAAAAAAATGTCCAAGCTTTTCCGGCCAACTGGGGGTGCTGTTGCTGTGATGTCATTGCAGGAAGACACTGTTTATTTTAGGGGTTTTCTGTTCAAATTGTGAACCCAAACACTTGTTCATTGTAAACAAATTAGCTTGAACATTGAGGTTTCTGCCTGAAATGACATCACACTTTTGCTCATGAATATGGAAATTTGCATAAATAAAAACCCAAAAGGCACCAAAATAACCTTAAAAACGGCACAACAAAAATTGAAAATAAGCTTAAAGGCTCTCAAAGGTGCATTTTCAAGGATTGCATTAAAAAATTACATTGCATGGGCCCTCTAATTAGTTGAAAGTGCTGTTAAACAATTTTGTACATGAAATAAATCATTTTTCACCTTACCTGTAAGTTCTAAGTATTTTCTTTCTAACCAGTTCAGAATTTATTTGAGTTTATTCATTGTTTTCCCATAAATGCTGGTATGTCGGCCTGCACACACATGTTTGTTTTTAATGTCTGTACTGCTCTGTTGTGTAAACAACACTATCAATCACACAGCCAGGATTGTATCCTTAAACTAGTTAAAGGGCTTGTGAGTTTTGTGTTCGCTGACTATAGACCCTTTGCGCGGTGCGCCATGACAGTGGGCAGGTCTTTGTACCTGTGTGATACACTTGATTTGACGTGTACTTTGTGCTTTCATTGTAAAGCCCGGTTCATACTTCACGTGAATGCGAAGCAAATTTTACGTCATGAAACATTCGGTGCGAAATTCGCTTGAGTTGCAGTGTGTTCAACTTTAAACTGGGCTTGACGAATTCGCATCGCGAATACTCCCCATAACGTCACAAATTCGCGTTCGCTTTTCGCTTTCGTGCAGAGTATGAACTGGGCTTATCAAAACCTGTGCACTGTCATAACGCACTGTGCCAAGGGTATATATAGGCTGTGCATACGGTAAGTATGGTTTACAAGTCTATTAGCACTGACACGTGTAGATCAGTTTTTTTTT